GAACGCAGAACTCTTCAGCTGCGCTGACGGCAAGCATGCTGCTGCTGCTGGACACTAAACACCGTCGAGCCGCTTTTTTTTTTTTTTCGATACCGGGGCCAAATAGATACTTTTAAAACAGTTCCGGTGCCTAAACGGTGCCTGAACCGGTACTTATTAAAAAATAAATAAATAAAAATTCCCCCCAAAAATGATAGATTGGCCATTAGAATAGAAATAGAATAGAGAGTGCAAATGTTAGAGGGTCAAATGAAGATGAAAGAGATGTGTTTTCAGCCGTTTCGTGAAAATAATAAGGACTCAGTCAGTTGGATTGAGCTGGGCAGGTCATTCCACCAGTAGGGAACAGTTAATGTAGAAGTCCATGAAAGTTTTATCATAGGTAGAATGCAAAATGTTTCAATACAAGCATTTCAGTCAAAGGTAATTTATGAAAGGCTGAAATCCCAAGTGGGAGGTTGCCATTACTGGAGGGTTTTATGACCCTTTGTGTGAGGGCATGGTAATTTGCAAATGGAACTCGAGTGGGGGCGTGATGAAAGATTACTAAATGTTCTTAGAACACTTATATTTTGCATAGGTATAAACATATAATATACACTCTCAATTAGTTAATCTAAATACGAATTCATAGAGACCAGACATGGTATATGTAAGGTTACATGAATGAGTGGTTATATCATAAGCATGCATAAAATAGTCTACAATGCAACAGACAATATACAAGACAGCAATAATAATACCATGTTTTGGTGCACTTTCTCACAACACTTCCCACAATGATTAATTTTTGGTGTGTAGACGGTGAGTAGTCCACATGAACACATACCCTATGAGTGCAATGTTGCCACATGTATTTTGAAAATTTCTCTGAATGTGATAGAAAATCTCAAAACGTTTTGGAACAGTTTTACACCTGTTTTTAGCCTTTTCTACTTCTGTTTGGATCAAACAGGGCCCTGCTGGAGTCCAACAATACGATGAAATTAGAGATGTTGATCAAAGCTGCACTGCCTTATAAAATAGAGTTTACTATTCACAAGTACTGCCTGATGCAAAGTATTCCTCGAACAAAAGAAATCTCAGAACACGTAAGACTTGTTGAGCTGCATTTATGCAAAGGGTTACAGAAGTATTTTTATAAGCCTTGAGGTTCATCAGTCCACGGAAAGACAATTATAAATGGATCAAGTTGCTGCCCTCCCTAGGAGTGTATGTCCATCATAAATGACTGGAAGAGCTCAGTGATCCTAAAGTGTCAGCTAATGTGTGTAGCGAATCAGCTCATGGGAAATATGAATAATTAATCATAACTAGTTATAATTAATTATGAATATTTTAGATCCGCTGTAGATATTTAGCTGACCTCTCAGGGTCAACTGTCTTGGCAATTCTAACAACGTTCATTTCCTGGTTAAGGGAAATAACTTTCTTACTGTACAACTCTACACAGAGCTTGTAGCATAAATCTGCATGATTAGGGACTCCAGTTATGAGCAAACAATGAACAACGTCAAGTGTGATACAAGTAAGGTTTTATTAACCACATAAACACTTAAACTAGTCTAACATACACATAAACACTTAAACTGGTCTAACATACACATAAACACACACACACACACACACATACAGTTGGTATAGGAAAGGGTTAAAAGCTTAACGCAGTAAAGAGAAGAGAAATAAGGAATATGAAGTTATAGAACCATTTGCATATTCAGCAGATTTACAGCCTGAAGGGAAACATCAGATTCTTAGTTCAAACACACCTTTGTAAAAAGGTGAAAATGATACCTAATGTATCAATTAATAAGACTAAGTTTGGATACTTGCAAGTCTCATCTGTCTGAAAGAGAGGTTTGATGTAATCTGAAGTTTCCAGTTGATCTTTGCTGAATTTGGGTCGATGAAAAGAACCAGTTTTGAGTCAGAGAATCTTGATGAGTGGAAAAGTCGAGGCTGAAGGCCTGGCACAAAAACTTAGGATGTCCTGGAGCATTGGAACTCACATCTTATCGAAACCTAACAGAACCACCGACCGGGGAGGGTCCCTGGTGTGGGCCTTTAAGGTCGGAGAAGATCCCCGCCTCTCAAGATGGGCTTGTCCAATGAGAAAGGCCGGTATCCCAAGTGGGAGTTTTGAGATACTGGGGAGTTTTTATGACCCTTTGTGTGAGGGCATGGTAATTTGCAAATGGAACTTGAATCGAAATTACTAAAGATTCTCAGGACACTAATATATTGCCTATGTACCAACATATAATATACACGCTCGTTTCGATCATCAGAAGGCGAATTCATAGATACTAAACATGGTGGAGATATATATATGTAAGCTGACAGGAGGGTGTTTCGATTATAAGTCTGCATAACAGTATACAATTTCAAAGACCAAATACACGATGACAATAATATACCCAATGACCTGAAGGATGATGTGTGTTCATTCAAAGAAAGGTTTTCCTATGAATTAATTAGTAGAAAAGTCCATTTCTACTCTGCCTTTCCTATGGGGACAATGAGTGGGTTATTCTACTCACATTCCTGGGGGGGGTCATAAAACCAGTGATATCATGATTAGTTGTCATGGTGACCAGGGGGCCTGGTGTTCTGCAGAAATCCTGGCATCCAGTTTATTGAGTGAGGGGACTGTGACGATTTGTTAATCTAATGAATAATTGATTTGTTAAATCAAATAAAAATTAGTGTGTCAGATTGGTCGAGACGCTACATATATCCCCCCCTTTCGAGCGTTGTTGTCCGTAGAATAGACAACAGCGAGCGACGTCAAAGGTGCAGAACAATCTAACACACACCTGTCACTCACGGCTGGGAGCCAGTGGTGGCTCTCTGGCTGTTGGTGCCTCCAGGAGTGGTTGTGGTGCCGTGGTGGATGCTGTCAGGTGGTGTGCTGTGGTGATGTAGACTGTAGCAAGGTGCGGGTCCTCGAGCTTATGCAGCAGGTGTCGAGGCTGTGTCACCTTTCATCCTGAAGTGAGTTAGTCCGGGTAAGATGGTTGTTTGTTGGTGTTGTTAGCAAGTAGGCTATCTGTGGTACCCGTGATGTGGGACAGCCGGGTTAGACTCTCACTGGTGAGAGTGCAGGTGGTTCCAGGGATTGCCGGGAACTGTTATGGAGATTCTATAGTGTGTAGAGAATTTCCGACTGACCTAGTGATGATGGCAGGAGAGCGGCAGGTGGTTGTTAGCCCTCTGCTTTGCTCAACATCACTAGAAATCCGATGTTTGCGGTGTCGCTTGGCTCTTGTGGCGGCACCGACTTGAGCTTGCCTGAGTTGTGTTGGTAGAGCTTTCGCTGTTGGGCATGTGGGCCCGTTGCTCAATCCAACGTTGTCTGGCTGCTTCTGGGGGTGTCGACCGGTTTCAAGGGATGCTCCTCCCTTGGAGGGGCCTGATGCTGTGTTGCAGCAGGCAAGGAGTCAGAGGTTTGTCCTTCTCAGTACTCCTTAGTTGAGTTTTGTTCAAGGAGCTCTTTTGCGAGTGTCAGCAGCTCCTGTAACCCAGAAGTAGGCGTGTCCAGCTGTCCTTGTGTAGCCTCCGTTCAGCACCTGTGTGAAGGGTGTGGAGGAGGATGTTGTGGTGGACTGCTGTTGGACATACCGTGGTGTTTGCAGGATGAGGACGCCTTTTCCCAGTGGTTGGTCTGGAACCTGGGTCTGTTGCCATGGTGATGGCTCTGTCCTCTTCTGGCTAGGGGCTTTCTGTAGAAGGGTTTTGCATTGTGGCAATGCTGGGTGCCTTCTGGTGCCCGCTTTGGATTCTGAGTTGTGAAGTTCAGAATCAGCAGCGATCAGTCCCTGTTCAGACTCTGGGTCTGAGAATTCCTTTATGATGGCTTGTTTAAACTGCTGGTGAGACTGCAGGATCAGTTCCTTTGATGTCCTCAAGGTCTCTGCAGTATTTAGGTTGCCAGATGTATTGTCTCTGGCCAGCTCGTTGGGGTCTGTGGGGTCACACAGTGTGTGTGTCTGCAGTGATCCTCTGGAAAGGTCCCTGCCCCACCCCCTTGTGGCTGCTGGTTGGTGACGTGTGAACAGTGGCTCTCGCCCCCCCCCTCGCAGGTTCGGACTCTTGGCTGAGGTGGTGGGCCTGCTGGCCAGGGGAAGTTCTGTTTCGTGTTTTCCCTGTCTGTTCACCTTGTGGTCTGCAAGCATATTCCAGTTCATTTGTGACATTGAATTCACCTCGGGCTGCTTGCAGGCTGGCTGCGTTGTTTCGGTTCACCTGAATTTTTTTTTTTTTTCTGCAGCTGCAGAGGTTTTCAGGGAGCTGACTTGTGAAGTGTCAAGCAGAAGGCTTTGGCTCCCTTTCCCCCCTTTCGTAGCTGTGCACAGGCGTGGAGGGCTTGCACTGCTGGCGACGTGATGTTCAGCCGGCTGTCTTTTGCTTAAGTCTATGCGCAGTCGGTAGGACTGTTTAAATTCTTTCTGAACCATGTCAAGCTCCTCTTTAATTGCTGAGTCAGGGTTTGGACCTCAGCTCTGGCTGCATGCAGCTGGCCTTGTAAGGCCTTAGATCTGGTGTCTCTCTCATTTAGTTCCACATATGTTGTTTTTAACAGTGACTTGGTGTGAAACAGTTCTCTTTTCAAGTCCTGTCTGATGGCTTTTTCCAGCGGCGCTTGGTGTCCAGCAGCTGTTAGAGCCTCCTGAAGACTGGTGATTTCCTTCTGTCGCACCATTCTGTGAGGTTCTTTGCATCCGTTCTGTGCTTTCTCTCGTTGAGCAGGTGTCAGTTCTCTGCAGAATTCTGTGACTTGCAGTTTCAGCTCATTTACCTCCTGTCTGAGGCCCTTGAGGGTGTGGGCAGAGGAGAGGATGATGCTCGTCAGGTGTTCACTTATGTCGATTGCTGGAGGGTTTTACGACCCTTTGTCTCTAAGCATGGTAATTTGCAAATGGACTTGAATCGAAATTACTAAAGATTCTCAGGACCCTAATATATATTGCCTATGTACCAACATATAATATACACGCTCGTTTCGATCATCAGAAGGCGAATTCATAGATACTAAACAAGGTAGGATTACATATAGTGAAAGGATGACAGGAATGGGTTCCCTCATAAGCATGCCTAAAATAGTCTAAAAATATCAAAGACAACATACACCATGACCTGAAGGATACACTGTTCATTCAAAGAAAGGTTTTCCTATGAATTAATTAGTAGAAAAGTCCATTTCTACTGTGCATTTGCCTCTTGCTATAAAAAGGTAGTGATTTTCTCTGTTTCGCATTCCTTCGGACAATAAACCCAGTGATATCAGCGTTGGTTGCCATGGAACCAGGGGCCTGTTCGGCTTCCTGGGGTGTTACGCATCTCGGGGGAAGGGTCCATAGGTCCTCATATGGCTTGTTAACTGAGGGGTGTTACAGAGTATTTGTTAACTATAGCTAACAAAATATATATTGTGTGTTTGATTGGTCCAGACGCTACATGTGTTATAAAAATATCTGGAATATGCTCCATAATGTCTCTTGTTGACGTGTCTAATAATAATATTTTGTCACTACGGTGGAAAAACAATTAAGTTTGCAAAACAGCACTTGGATGTTCTGGAGCACTACTGGCAAAATATTCTATATAAATCACTGTTTTGGGTTGTTTTACTTCCTGAGGGTTTGGACAGCTTTCTGTCATCAATTTAAACTAAAATCTTTAGGTTTATCAGGACATTTTGCTGGAAAATGTAGGCCTATAATAACAACCCTAAATACAGGAGCAAATCATTGACCGAAAGGCTTCAACTGTCTTGTCTCCTGGCTGATGTTCTCTGCAACTCACCAAAACTGCTTTATTGAATAAAATCCAATATACAGTAATACTTGATTATACCCCAGTCTGTCATACGTCACTTCGTAGTGCAACTGCTGTTTTGTTCCTTGGGTGAACTGAGCTCCCAAACACAACTCAACAGTGCTAAACAAAAAAAGCATGTAAATATTTGTTCATTTTTTCTGACAACTTGTGACACTTAGGACCAAATACATGATTGTCAATAAATCTTGTCTAATTGATTAACTGTAGAAGACACACCTTTAAGGGGATCTCCATCTCCAGGGGACTTCCATGTATAAAACGAGTTGTTTGTGTCATGTATGTGTACATGTGAATGCATTGTGTGCCTTCAGGGCATCCGTAGTTGTCATGGAGATTGGGGGCTGGGTTAAGGAAGTTAAAGGGGGCATAACACACACAGTTTCACCCAATCTCATGTTAATCTTGAGTACCTATAGAGTAGTACTGCATCCTTCATATCTCCAAAAAGTATTTAGTTTTATCATATTTATAAAAGAAAGATACAGCTTTACGATTCTCTGAACAAAGTTATCTTTCCCTTCAACCAAAAACACACTTCTTTGGAGACATTCTTCCCGAGCGAGTCTCGTGCAGCGCTGCCGCCGGATGAAGCTCGTTGATGGGCGCGATCTCGCTCTAGCTCTGGTCGATGCATGCGCGGGCACGTTTTTCCAGGAGAAATGCCCATATAAGGAATTCCACGCTCGAACACGAGGTTTTGATGTCCTTTATTAAACAACATAAATATAATATGGTGTCAGAAGTTACGGCATAAAAGTTTACAGTAACGATGGCACAACTACAGTCGCCACCGTTAAACTTGCATGGAAATCTCTCGGAAGATTGGAAGAGTTGGATTCAAAGATTTGAACTTTTCTCCACAGCAAGCGGGATAGCCGAAAAATCCGAGAAGGTGCAGTGTGCAACGTTTCTGCATGTAGCAGGGGAAAAGGCTATTAAAGTCTGCAACACATTTCACTTCACAGAGGAGGAAAAAGACAAAATACAGGTACTAAAGGACAAGTTTAAAGACTTCTGTGAACCTCGTAAAAACTTACCATCATACATCAGACATGTGTTCTTCACGCGCTCGCAGGAACTCTCAGAAACGATTGATGCAAAAGACTGTGAGTTCGGGGATCTGCACGACTCATTAATTCGTGACAGAATTGTATGTGGCATAAAGGACGATCAATTAAGAGGCAGACTGCTGAGAGAGGTAGATTTCTCGCTCGAAAAAGCCATTGATATCTGCAGAGCCAGCGAGATTACATCAAGTCAGATTAAAGCGCTGATTGAAGAAATGGAGGTACACAGAGTGAAAGCAGTAAAGCCAAAGAAGCAAGACGGCAGATCAGATCAGAGCATGCTAACAAAAAAGGAATGCAGCAAATGCGGCAACAAACACGAATACAGAAATTGTCCTGCCTTTGGGAAAACATGTAAGAACTGTCAAAAGAAAAATCACTTCGCTAAAATGTGCATGTCTAAGGGCCAAGTAAGTCACAGTGCACACTATTGAACACTATTGAACAGAGCGAGGAAATGTTCATTGTAACAGTACAGCAAGAGCAGGTCAAGAACATAAAATCTACAACATCTCAAAATGTAAATGAATATGACTGGACTGAAACGCTCAAAATAAATAAGAGAAATGTCAAGGTCAAACTTGATACTGGTGCATAATGCAATGTGTTGTCTGAAAGTATATACAAAGCACTAAACATCACAGGAAGGCTGCAAAAATCTAGTTGCAAGCTAGTGGCGTACTCAGGCCACAAGATGGAGCCATTAGGCAAGAAAGCCATCACCTGTGAGTATAAGGGACAGAAATACAGGATTGTATTGAGATAATACAGAATGATGCTCCAGCAATTCTCGGACATGCTGCCTGCCAAAAGTTAGGCATGGTAAAAAGACTGTATCAAGTTGAGAAAAATAACAACATTCTCAAAGAATTTGAAGACCTGTTTGTAGGACTAGGCTGCTTACCTGGAGAACACCCCATACAAATAAATACAGAAGTCTCAGAGATAGAGTCATCAAAGAGCTAAAAAGAATGGAACAAAACAAACTGAGCCTACTGACTGGGTCAACAGCATGGTGACTGTGGTCACATCAAACACAATTTGCATATGCATGGACCCCAGAGATCTAAATAAAGCGATAAAACGAGAGCACTATCCAATGCTAACTGTGGAAGAGGTAGTCTAAAGAATGCCTAATGCAAAGTACTTCTCAATACTTGATGCAAATCAAGGTTTCTGGCAAATCAAGCTGGATCAAGAGAGCTCAAATCTATGCACAATAAACACACCCATTGGACGATATCGCTTTCTTCGTTTACCTTTCGGCATCTCTTCAGCTTCGGAGGCTTCGGAGGCTCTTCAGCTTCAAATTCTCTACGTGTGAGCCGCTTACGATGTTGCCCGCGGTGCATCGACGAAGGCCGACAGGACTGTCCACACTGTTTCATCTGTGGTGAGGATGGACACCGGGCAGTCTACGACAACCTCAGCGACAGGGAAATGGGAATCGGCCACTGCAAAGGGGCGACCAGTGACCGCACAGCAAATGCCCCAACCAGAGGTTACTCCCGCAAAGCCGGCCTGGTCTAGGGAGGGGGAAGTGCTAGGACATGAACACACATACCAGAGACACACAAACAAATCGATAAATAATGAAGTGAGGCTCAAGAGTCAAGGAGCAAGTGTTCTGGGCCCCGGTGAGACCAAAAACAACACCATAATTAAGCTGATCGGACGCAAGGCTCTGACCTAGTGTAACTTGAATGGCCTTACAGTGAGGGCGCTGCTTGACACAGGTGCGCAAGTTAGTATGGTGGACCGTGCATGGAAAGAGAAATACCTACCAAGTGTTGAGGTGAGCTTCTTGGGTGTCAAGATGATTTGAAAGTCTACGCTGTAAACGGAGACCTTATCCCATTTGACGGCTGAGCAGTTAACACAGTCAACCTGCTAGGAAATGAGGACCCAAGTCTATCTATCAGTGTCCCATTCCTGGTGAGTAAGATGCCAATTGAGAGACCACTCCTGGGGTTCAACTTAGTTGAAGAACTAATTCAGGGGCAGTCTGAGCAACTGATGCCAACACTTACCTCGCTACTGGCTGGAGCTATTGATATACCTCACGAAAAGGCACAAACTTTAGTCAAGGTTGTCCGCGCTGCTGAAGAAGATGATGGAGATGGGCGCTTGAAGGTTGGGCCGAGAGGCGTAGTTATCCGGGCAGGACAAGTGGCTTGGGTGAAATGCAGAATTCCTTCAACGATGGCACAGTCTGACTCGATCGGGGTCGCATCCACCCACCACTGATGAACAGACACTGACTACTAATGGCACTTACCTGACACCACCACATGCTGCAACTGATTTTAGGAGTGCAAAGGGGGTTGAACCTAGATCAAGCACAGATATAAGTAAAATGCTTGCAGAGTATGAAGCACTTCACCATACACCAGTACATGACAACACCCACACAGCACACTGACCTTGCCCAACCTGTAGTACAGGGGGGTGCTGCCACACGACATCTCAATAAGACTGAACGGGTAGCTCACGGCAGTACATTCCCAATGGTGGGGCTCCCATGTATCCAGCCCCGCGAATTTAAGATACACGGAGGCCAGATTGGTGACCACTCGTCAGACATAACGTATAACAATGTATGCAGACAGATGGACGCTGGCCCCAGAGAGAACTTCAGCGATACCGACATTGTCAGAGGTCTGCTAAGAATCATTAAGACCGGCATCTTCAAGGACATGCTGATAAATAAGGACGACATGACGGTAAATGAGTTAAGAGGGTTCCTACAGTCACACCTGGGAGATCGGAGCAGCACAGAACTATTTCAAGAATTGATGTGCACCAAACAAAGCGACCACGAGAACCCTCAACAGTTCTTATACCGTGTAATGGGGTTGAAGCAGAAAATACTTTTTGCAGCGAGGCACTTCAATGATGGCACAGTCTGACTCGATGGTCTTGTTTGAGCCTCATGAAAATAGAGATCATTTAAGATGCTTGGACATTGGAGAGGGACTCCTAGAGATACAACCCAAACGTGAGCCTTGTGTTTCCATACCAATCGGAAATAGCACAGTGAGTGATGTGGCACTGCCACATGGCACAGTGATTGGAACATTACAACAGATTGAGGGGATCTTAGTGGAGTCTGGAAAAATGAGTGAGCCCAGGCAGGCAACGACGATTCATGCTGCAACCACTCGAGAGGATGAGGCGAAGACATCATTGTGGCATCCACCTGTCAACCTGGACCATCTAGAAGAGGCCCAACAAGAGGTTGTGCAGAGAATGTTGTATGAGGAGTCTGGTGCATTCAGCAGAGATGACAGTGACAACGGCTGCATACCGAGCTTAGAGATGCCAATCACACTCACGGATGACATCCCAGTTCAGAGGGCATATTCAGCAATACCGAAACCCCTGTTCAACGAGGTGAAGGGCTACATACAGGATCTCTTGGCAAAAGGATGGATCGTTAGATCAAAGTCGCCATATGCCGCTCCAGTAGTCTGTGTCCGAAAAAAAGATGGCAAGTTGAGGCTCTGAGTTGATTACCATCTCCTGAACAGGAAAACCGTCCCTGACCATCACCCATTGCCCAGAATACAGGATCTGATTGACACGCTTGGAGGGTACTCTTGGTTCAGTATCCTCGACCAAGGCAAAGCATACCACCAAGGGTACATCGCAGAGGGATCAAGACACATGACAGCTTTCATTACCCCATGGGGGCTATATGAGTGGGTCCGAATCCCATTTGGATTGTCCAATGCGCCTGCTGCTTTCCAACGCAGCATGGAAGAAATGCTCGATTCACTTAGGGATGAGTGCTGCATCCCATACTTGGAAGATGTCCTTTGTTATGCGAGATCCTTTGAAGAGCATGTTGAAACCATCCGTAGAGTTTTGAAGGCCCTCCAGTGCCATGGTGTCAAGCTAAAACCTAAAAGGTGTGAAAAGGTGTCAAGCTAAAACCTAAAACTTGTTCTGCGGACTCCTATACCGCAGAACAAGTGAGAGAAAATAACTTGTCTTACCGAGCAAGTACAAGAAGCTGGCACTTGAACACCTCCATGACAAGATGGGCCACGTGGGTACAGAGCGGGTACTGGGCCTGACGAGGGAGCAGTTTTACTGGCCATACATGAAAGCTGAAGTGGAGGAGTATGTGACTAAGAAATGCCCATGTATAAAACAGAAGAAACCTACCGTACATGTCCGGGCACCTATGGGTAGCATCACCACACACTCACCCATGTAGCTGGTATGCACTGACTACTTGCACCTGGAACCAAACCGCGGAGGGTATGAATATATCCTGGTGGTCATGGACCACTTCACAAGGTTCGCCCAAGCCTACCCGACCAAGAACAAGTCGGGGCGGACTGCAGCAGAGCGCCTGTTCCAAGATTACATTCCGCACTTTGGATATCCGGCAAAATTACATCACGACCAGGGCCGTGAGTTTGAAAACTAACTCTTCCGCACTCTCCAACAGTTCGCTCGAATTGGCCACTCTCGAACGTCGCCATACCACCCCCAAGGCAACCCAGTCGAGAGGTTCTATCGGACCCTGTTACAAATGTTAAGAATACTGGCGGACAAGGAAAAGGAAAGGTGGAAAGATCACTTACCTCAAATCGTGCATGCTTACAACTGCACGCGGCACGAGTCGACAGGATACTCACCCTTTTTCCTGTTAATACGGGCGGCATCCTCACCTTCCAGTTGACCTGATCTTCGGCCTGGTGGAACAAACAGAAGAAATCACACCAAAGGGGTATGCAAAGCAGTGGGCACACAGAATGAGTGAAGCATACAAGATCGCGGAGAGCCACAGTCAGCAGTCAAGTGCGAGAGGGAAAGCGCAGTATGACCGAAAAGTGAGGGGGGTTGTGCTGAAGGCAGGAGATCGAGTACTGGTTAGGAATCTTGGGGGGCGAGGAGTCCCAGGAAAGTTACGATCTTACTGGGAAAAAGCTGTATATGTCGTGAAGGAGCAAGTATCAAACAACCCTGTGTATGTCGTATATCCTGAGAACAGTGAGCGTGGAAAGACCAGGACACTACATCGAAACCTGTTGCTACTGGTGAACGACCTACCTGTAGAAGCTCCAGCGACGACATCCGGATCCATGAGACCTGAAAGACAGAAAAAGACAGTGAGACACACAAGCAATGACAATGATGCAGAGAGTAGTGCAGGAGAATACTGGTTAAGAGCTCCAGTCAACTGGCTGACATCAGGAAGCATCCGACCCCCAGAGCAAGTTCCTGTAAGGGAAAACATTCGGGTTATGCCGGGAAGGGAAAGCTCAGGGCAGATCCAGGACAGAGAGGAGCAAAGAACATGTGAGAGTCCAGCTGACGCTGATGAAGGAGACGAAGAAATTGAGAAATTGAGCCTGATTTTGTAGACAGAGCTGAGGCTCTGAGAATGGAAGAAGAGACCAGTGTCAGAAGGTCAGCTAGGGAGCGGAGACCAAGGCAGATTTATACATACGACATGTTGGGTCAACCTGCGATCCACCCCTACATCCCCACACTGAACTCAGTTACTGCTTACTCCACCCCATACATGCCTGTTTGGGGTTTACACAATTACACCACACCCATTACCTACCCTCACTTGTACTTACCTTCAGTACACACACCTTATGGAGTTACAACTGCTTTTTATTAAGAGTGGTTAAAGTGTTTGCTTATGGGAAATGAGGGGTTGATCACTGGAGCTTTTCTTAGTTTGTCAGGGAGAGTGTGATACACACAAAGTATGTACACAACTGTGTTATGTTTTATTTATATTGTTGTATGTTCAATGATCACATTATTTCCTTATGCAGTGTTTATGTGCGAACTAAAACATGTATATTGATTTACATGGAGAGGAAAAAAAAGGACTCTTATTTTGATATTCTGACTGGAGAGTTCTCCCGTTCTTCTTACATTATCCTGTTTTACAGGTAACAGTAATCTGTCTGCGGGGTCTCTGAAGGCGGGGCCTGCAACAATGGCATTCCTGATGTTGTAGTATCTGACAACGGACCTCAATATGCAAGTGCAGAGTTTGCTATTTTCGCAGAGGAGTGGGACTTCGACCATGTAACCTCCAGTCCTAGTTACGCACAATCTAATGGTCAAGCAGAAAGGACTGTGCAAACTGTAAAGACTCTGTTGAAAAAATCTCAAAGTAACAACAGTGACCCATATGTTGCACTACTTGAGTACCGCAACACGCCAGTCGATGGGATAGGTTTGTCTCCTGCACAGCTGTTGATGGGGCTACGTCTCAGGACAAAGCTGCCAACGTCATCTGCGCTGCTTACATCTGATACCATGAAACAAGTGCAAAGAAAGCTCAAAGAACGACAGAGTAAGCAAAAGTTTTATTATGACAGGCAGACAAGGCAGACAAAGGATCTGCAACCTGGAGAGAAAATCAGAATGCAGAAAGGAGAGTCTTGGCAACCAGATGTAGTCCAAATGAGACATGAGCATCCCAGATCCTTTGTGGTCAGAACACCAGATGGTAACCTGTTCAGAAGAAATCGCAAGCATCTGAGGAAAACAAAAGAAATTGATAAGTCAGTATTTGACAAGAGTATTGTCATGGAGACAAGTGGACAGCAAGAGGCTGAACAGTTAAAAAACAATGTTTCTGATACTCATTACAAACAAATACCTGAGTCTCACAGTAATGATAACTCTCATGAAGTCCAAGAGCAATCATACCGTACCAGATCTGGGAGAGTAGTGAGTACCAGAGAGATACAGAGACTGACTTTCAAGATACAGGGTTCTGAGTGTTTAAAGTTTTGACAAGTAATACATTCAGAGAACATATTTTTTGATCAGTTTATCAGTTTGTTGTTATAGTAAAAGTTTGTTTTTTGGTTTGTTTACAAACTACATGTTATGCTCCATTTATAAAAAAAAAAAAAAAAAAAGAGGGATGTCATGTATGTGTACATGTGAATGCATTGTGCTCGGACATGCTGCCTGCCAAAAGTTAGGCATGGTAAAAAGACTGTATCAAGTTGAGAAAAATAACAACATTCTCAAAGAATTTGAAGACCTGTTTGTAGGACTAGGCTGCTTACCTGGAGAACACCCCATACAAATAAATACAGAAGTCTCAGAGATAGAGTCATCAAAGAGCTAAAAAGAATGGAACAAAACAAACTGAGCCTACTGACTGGGTCAACAGCATGGTGACTGTGGTCACATCAAACACAATTTGCATATGCATGGACCCCAGAGATCTAAATAAAGCGATAAAACGAGAGCACTATCCAATGCTAACTGTGGAAGAGGTAGTCTAAAGAATGCCTAATGCAAAGTACTTCTCAATACTTGATGCAAATCAAGGTTTCTGGCAAATCAAGCTGGATCAAGAGAGCTCAAATCTATGCACAATAAACACACCCATTGGACGATATCGCTTTCTTCGTTTACCTTTCGGCATCTCTTCAGCTTCGGAGGCTTCGGAGGCTCTTCAGCTTCAAATTCTCTACGTGTGAGCCGCTTACGATGTTGCCCGCGGTGCATCGACGAAGGCCGACAGGACTGTCCACACTGTTTCATCTGTGGTGAGGATGGACACCGGGCAGTCTACGACAACCTCAGCGACAGGGAAATGGGAATCGGCCACTGCAAAGGGGCGACCAGTGACCGCACAGCAAATGCCCCAACCAGAGGTTACTCCCGCAAAGCCGGCCTGGTCTAGGGAGGGGGAAGTGCTAGGACATGAACACACATACCAGAGACACACAAACAAATCGATAAATAATGAAGTGAGGCTCAAGAGTCAAGGAGCAAGTGTTCTGGGCCCCGGTGAGACCAAAAACAACACCATAATTAAGCTGATCGGACGCAAGGCTCTGACCTAGTGTAACTTGAATGGCCTTACAGTGAGGGCGCTGCTTGACACAGGTGCGCAAGTTAGTATGGTGGACCGTGCATGGAAAGAGAAATACCTACCAAGTGTTGAGGTGAGCTTCTTGGGTGTCAAGATGATTTGAAAGTCTACGCTGTAAACGGAGACCTTATCCCATTTGACGGCTGAGCAGTTAACACAGTCAACCTGCTAGGAAATGAGGACCCAAGTCTATCTATCAGTGTCCCATTCCTGGTGAGTAAGATGCCAATTGAGAGACCACTCCTGGGGTTCAACTTAGTTGAAGAACTAATTCAGGGGCAGTCTGAGCAACTGATGCCAACACTTACCTCGCTACTGGCTGGAGCTATTGATATACCTCACGAAAAGGCACAAACTTTAGTCAAGGTTGTCCGCGCTGCTGAAGAAGATGATGGAGATGGGCGCTTGAAGGTTGGGCCGAGAGGCGTAGTTATCCGGGCAGGACAAGTGGCTTGGGTGAAATGCAGAATTCCTTCAACGATGGCACAGTCTGACTCGATCGGGGTCGCATCCACCCACCACTGATGAACAGACACTGACTACTAATGGCACTTACCTGACACCACCACATGCTGCAACTGATTTTAGGAGTGCAAAGGGGGTTGAACCTAGATCAAGCACAGATATAAGTAAAATGCTTGCAGAGTATGAAGCACTTCACCATACACCAGTACATGACAACACCCACACAGCACACTGACCTTGCCCAACCTGTAGTACAGGGGGGTGCTGCCACACGACATCTCAATAAGACTGAACGGGTAGCTCACGGCAGTACATTCCCAATGGTGGGGCTCCCATGTATCCAGCCCCGCGAATTTAAGATACACGGAGGCCAGATTGGTGACCACTCGTCAGACATAACGTATAACAATGTATGCAGACAGATGGACGCTGGCCCCAGAGAGAACTTCAGCGATACCGACATTGTCAGAGGTCTGCTAAGAATCATTAAGACCGGCATCTTCAAGGACATGCTGATAAATAAGGACGACATGACGGTAAATGAGTTAAGAGGGTTCCTACAGTCACACCTGGGAGATCGGAGCAGCACAGAACTATTTCAAGAATTGATGTGCACCAAACAAAGCGACCACGAGAACCCTCAACAGTTCTTATACCGTGTAATGGGGTTGAAGCAGAAAATACTTTTTGCAGCGAGGCACTTCAATGATGGCACAGTCTGACTCGATGGTCTTGTTTGAGCCTCATGAAAATAGAGATCATTTAAGATGCTTGGACATTGGAGAGGGACTCCTAGAGATACAACCCAAACGTGAGCCTTGTGTTTCCATACCAATCGGAAATAGCACAGTGAGTGATGTGGCACTGCCACATGGCACAGTGATTGGAACATTACAACAGATTGAGGGGATCTTAGTGGAGTCTGGAAAAATGAGTGAGCCCAGGCAGGCAACGACGATTCATGCTGCAACCACTCGAGAGGATGAGGCGAAGACATCATTGTGGCATCCACCTGTCAACCTGGACCATCTAGAAGAGGCCCAACAAGAGGTTGTGCAGAGAATGTTGTATGAGGAGTCTGGTGCATTCAGCAGAGATGACAGTGACAACGGCTGCATACCGAGCTTAGAGATGCCAATCACACTCACGGATGACATCCCAGTTCAGAGGGCATATTCAGCAATACCGAAACCCCTGTTCAACGAGGTGAAGGGCTACATACAGGATCTCTTGGCAAAAGGATGGATCGTTAGATCAAAGTCGCCATATGCCGCTCCAGTAGTCTGTGTCCGAAAAAAAGATGGCAAGTTGAGGCTCTGAGTTGATTACCATCTCCTGAACAGGAAAACCGTCCCTGACCATCACCCATTGCCCAGAATACAGGATCTGATTGACACGCTTGGAGGGTACTCTTGGTTCAGTATCCTCGACCAAGGCAAAGCATACCACCAAGGGTACATCGCAGAGGGATCAAGACACATGACAGCTTTCATTACCCCATGGGGGCTATATGAGTGGGTCCGAATCCCATTTGGATTGTCCAATGCGCCTGCTGCTTTCCAACGCAGCATGGAAGAAATGCTCGATTCACTTAGGGATGAGTGCTGCATCCCATACTTGGAAGATGTCCTTTGTTATGCGAGATCCTTTGAAGAGCATGTTGAAACCATCCGTAGAGTTTTGAAGGCCCTCCAGTGCCATGGTGTCAAGCTAAAACCTAAAAGGTGTGAAAAGGTGTCAAGCTAAAACCTAAAACTTGTTCTGCGGACTCCTATACCGCAGAACAAGTGAGAGAAAATAACTTGTCTTACCGAGCAAGTACAAGAAGCTGGCACTCGAGCACCTCCATGACAAGATGGGCCACGTGGGTACAGAGCAGGTACTGGGCCTGACGAGGGAGCAGTTTTACTGGCCATACATGAAAGCTGAAGTGGAGGAGTATGTGACTAAGAAATGCCCATGTATAAAACAGAAGAAACCTACCGTACATGTCCGGGCACCTATGGGTAGCATCACCACACACTCACCCATGTAGCTGGTATGCACTGACTACTTGCACCTGGAACCAAACCGCGGAGGGTATGAATATATCCTGGTGGTCATGGACCACTTCACAAGGTTCGCCCAAGCCTACCCGACCAAGAACAAGTCGGGGCGGACTGCAGCAGAGCGCCTGTTCCAAGATTACATTCCGCACTTTGGATATCCGGCAAAATTACATCACGACCAGGGCCGTGAGTTTGAAAACTAACTCTTCCGCACTCTCCAACAGTTCGCTCGAATTGGCCACTCTCGAACGTCGCCATACCACCCCCAAGGCAACCCAGTCGAGAGGTTCTATCGGACCCTGTTACAAATGTTAAGAATACTGGCGGACAAGGAAAAGGAAAGGTGGAAAGATCACTTACCTCAAATCGTGCATGCTTACAACTGCACGCGGCACGAGTCGACAGGATACTCACCCTTTTTCCTGTTAATACGGGCGGCATCCTCACCTTCCAGTTGACCTGATCTTCGGCCTGGTGGAACAAACAGAAGAAATCACACCAAAGGGGTATGCAAAGCAGTGGGCACACAGAATGAGTGAAGCATACAAGATCGCGGAGAGCCACAGTCAGCAGTCAAGTGCGAGAGGGAAAGCGCAGTATGACCGAAAAGTGAGGGGGGTTGTGCTGAAGGCAGGAGATCGAGTACTGGTTAGGAATCTTGGGGGGCGAGGAGTCCCAGGAAAGTTACGATCTTACTGGGAAAAAGCTGTATATGTCGTGAAGGAGCAAGTATCAAACAACCCTGTGTATGTCGTATATCCTGAGAACAGTGAGCGTGGAAAGACCAGGACACTACATCGAAACCTGTTGCTACTGGTGAACGACCTACCTGTAGAAGCTCCAGCGACGACATCCGGATCCATGAGACCTGAAAGACAGAAAAAGACAGTGAGACACACAAGCAATGACAATGATGCAGAGAGTAGTGCAGGAGAATACTGGTTAAGAGCTCCAGTCAACTGGCTGACATCAGGAAGCATCCGACCCCCAGAGCAAGTTCCTGTAAGGGAAAACATTCGGGTTATGCCGGGAAGGGAAAGCTCAGGGCAGATCCAGGACAGAGAGGAGCAAAGAACATGTGAGAGTCCAGCTGACGCTGATGAAGGAGACGAAGAAATTGAGAAATTGAGCCTGATTTTGTAGACAGAGCTGAGGCTCTGAGAATGGAAGAAGAGACCAGTGTCAGAAGGTCAGCTAGGGAGCGGAGACCAAGGCAGATTTATACATACGACATGTTGGGCCAACCTGCGATCCTCCCCTACACCCCCACACTGAACGCATTTACTGCTTACTCCACCCCACACATGCCTGTTTGGGGTTTACACAATTACACCACACCCATTACCTACCCTCACTTGTACTTACCTTCAGTACACGCACCTTATGGAGTTACAACTGCTGTTTATTAAGAGTGGTTAAAGTGTTTGCTTATGGGAAATGAGGGGTTGATCACTGGAGCTTTTCTTAGTTTGTCAGGGAGAGTGTGATACACACAAAGTATGTACACAACTGTGTTATGTTTTATTTATATTGTTGTATGTTCAATGATCACATTATTTCCTTATGCAGTGTTTATGTGCGAACTAAAACATGTATATTGATTTACATGGAGAGGAAAAAAAAGGACTCTTATTTTGATATTCTGACTGGAGAGTTCTCCCGTTCTTCTTACATTATCCTGTTTTACAGGTAACAGTAATCTGTCTGCGGGGTCTCTGAAGGCGGGGCCTGCAACAATGGCATTCCTGATGTTGTAGTATCTGACAACGGACCTCAATATGCAAGTGCAGAGTTTGCTATTTTCGCAGAGGAGTGGGACTTCGACCATGTAACCTCCAGTCCTAGTTACGCACAATCTAATGGTCAAGCAGAAAGGACTGTGCAAACTGTAAAGACTCTGTTGAAAAAATCTCAAAGTAACAACAGTGACCCATATGTTGCACTACTTGAGTACCGCAACACGCCAGTCGATGGGATAGGTTTGTCTCCTGCACAGCTGTTGATGGGGCTACGTCTCAGGACAAAGCTGCCAACGTCATCTGCGCTGCTTACATCTGATACCATGAAACAAGTGCAAAGAAAGCTCAAAGAACGACAGAGTAAGCAAAAGTTTTATTATGACAGGCAGACAAAACTCTTACCGGATCTGCAACCTGGAGAGAAAATCAGAATGCAGAAAGGAGAGTCTTGGCAACCAGATGTAGTCCAAATGAGACATGAGCATCCCAGATCCTTTGTGGTCAGAACACCAGATGGTAACCTGTTCAGAAGAAATCGCAAGCATCTGAGGAAAACAAAAGAAATTGATAAGTCAGTATTTGACAAGAGTATTGTCATGGAGACAAGTGGACAGCAAGAGGCTGAACAGTTAAAAAACAATGTTTCTGATACTCATTACAAACAAATACCTGAGTCTCACAGTAATGATAACTCTCATGAAGTCCAAGAGCAATCATACCGTACCAGATCTGGGAGAGTAGTGAGTACCAGAGAGATACAGAGACTGACTTTCAAGATACAGGGTTCTGAGTGTTTAAAGTTTTGACAAGTAATACATTCAGAGAACATATTTTTTGATCAGTTTATCAGTTTGTTGTTATAGTAAAAGTTTGTTTTTTGGTTTGTTTACAAACTACATGTTATGCTCCATTTATAAAAAAAAAAAAAAAAAAGAGGGATGTCATGTATGTGTACATGTGAATGCATTGTGTGCCTTCAGGGCATCAGTAGTTGTCATGGAGATTAAGGGTGGGGTTAAGGAAGTAAAGGAATATAATAAATGGTTACGCTGGCATGCGAACACGAGGTTTATAAAACAATATAAAATATAACAGTTTGGCTTATGAAGTAACAAGGGCTATGAAGTCAGATTGAAGTTAGTGACCAGCAGCACAGTTTGCAACAATGCAATTTCGACAGGTAGGGGTCCAAAATGACCATTCAGAACAGTGAATGCATCTTGTAAAAAATCACAATATATGGAAGGAGGGTCGAGATGGGCACATACAAATTAAAGAGCCTCAAGGCATATGCTGACAGAAAAAAAAAAGAAGAAAAAAAAAAAAGGTATATATATATATGAATGTGACAATGATTTACTTTTCTTTACATTGAGTGCTTTTATTAGGTTATTCTATTAATCTGGTAGGTAATTCTATTCTAATAGAATTAGGTAATTCTATTTATTCTGCTTATGTTTGTTTTATTTTACATTGTGTTATATTGGATTTTTTGTTTTTGTTTTTTGAATTCATGAAGCTGAGGGCTTCAGCTGTC